TCCATAATTACACGTGACACTGGATTTAATTTTTAATTCAAATCTCACACTTACATATCAACAACCGGATGATTGCCACATCACATTATGGACACCATTATGTGCAATAATTATATACAAATAGAATTTTCCTAAAATTACAGTCCATACAATGAAAAGTCCTTATCCAAGTGATCTTGAATTTGACATTTACTTTTAAACGTGTGATCTATACTCAACAATTTTTTTTTTTTTTATTTTATTTTATCAAACACTTCAACCAAAATCAAAAAGTCAAAGAGTTATTACAGACAAGTACTGAGATCTCGTATTTGAGTCTTACTTTTCAACATGTGATCCATACACAACCAAAACCCAAAATGTTATCCTAGATGGGTACATGAATGCGACAGTGTCCACGAGTTTGGCCATCTATGATCCTCTATCAGCATTCACTCCAAAGACTTCGGGGATCATGCAAGCGGTCATCGAGAAATGCAATACAAGTATGATACAACTCAAAATCAAGAAGTGATGGACAATGAGGATGTAATAGTCGAGCACTCGATCCCATCACCAACTAAAGGAAAGTTCATACACCTAATAAAAACAAGACACTATCATCATGAAAGAAATTTTTAGATGTCAAAGCAATAAGCATCTTTTACATGCTGTAAATTAATTCTCAGTTGGCTACGTTTAGCTGCAAGAACTTGGAAAAATATGGAAGCACACAATTGAAAGTGTTCTTCACTAACATTATAACAAGTTTGGAGAATCTCATGTTTAGCAGCAAACAAGTAGTTATTTATCGTGTCTCCTTTCTCTGTTAGGATCCACGTATTAGTCCTGTGTATGCAAAACACGACTGAGACCGAAGACTATGGGGTCATGATAGATTTTGCCAAGTCATTGCATGGAAAACTATAACCAAAATCCTTTGTACTTGGCATTAACTTGGAACCACGTGCATCTAAAGTATCTTTTACCAAGATCAATGTAGTTGTATGTAAAACCAAAGCAATAGCTTGATGAACCAAAGTCTCCAGGACCTATTGTCAAGAATAATGAATTGCTATTTTCAGTAAATGCATTTAAGTTAACCAACTAGGCAACCAGATGCTTTGACCAGCATGGAATGCCAAATCGCTCATTGGAGATAAAATTAGATCGAAATCAAATGAAGTCTTTCCATGAGCTGATTGTATCCATTGAGCAAATATATATTCAATCAAAATTTGCTTTTTGGAGTATCAAAGGCAAGCATGACATCATCATGAACATAAAGTCCCAAGGTATAGAATCCCAAAAAGAGTCTGGCCCAACTTAAATGAGATATGATAGCCTCTTTATTGCCAATGTAAACTTAAGGGTTTTCATAGCCTCCTCCAAATGGGTAGAGGCATATTTATTTGGAACATGCTTTTCTTAAAAGGACTTTTCTTCTATTATTCTCTAAGAACGGAAGAATAACGTCCTGGAGTTTCTCTTCTGCAGATCAAGTAAAGACATTAGTTCTACATGAAAACAGTAAAGACATTACTCTAGGCACAAATTTTCCTGTGATCAAAGCATCTCGAGTGAAATATGACTAATCCTACTTAAACAAAAGTTCGGAGGCTAACATAAAGAAGAATTTGACTGTCCACCAACTTCAGAGACCCAGATTCGCAAGCAAGAACAGTCTTTTCACCTATGTTGTGAATACTTCAAACATTTTAGATAAAACTAATAGATGAAAATGTAGCCAATGAACATGATGGCGGGCGTAAAATGATGACATGTTTGGTACACATGTTTAGATAAGACCTGCAATACAATGCACAAGATTTAACCATTTTTTTTCCTCTGTCCTACCCA